TATATATATATATATATACATGTATATCCTTAAAAATATATGTATTGACGACGTTCAGAAACAATTCTCGAAAACAAACTGTAAACATAAACAAACAAAGGAAAAAGGTTATAACAGATATTATTCGAAAGGTTTTTGCAGTGCCATGGGGACTGTTCCAGATTAAGTCAAGACTATTCCCGAATAAACAGAATACATTCATAATAGAGCCTACTTGAAAGGTCCTCAAAGCCAAAAGGGTTCTAGCCAGATTATTTCTAAAAACAAATACCAAACATAAAAAGGTAAGAGAGTTTACCTGAAAGGTCCACAGAGCCTAAAAGGTCCTAGCCGGACTATTTCTAATAATAAATACCAAACGTTATGAAATAAAGTGATAAGACAGCTTACCTGAAAGGTCCACAGAGCCTAAAAGGTCCTAGCCGGACTATTTCTAATAATAAATACCAAACGTTAAGAAATAAAGTGATAAGACAGCTTACCTGAAAGGCCCACAGTGCCAAGAGGGTTCTAGCAAGACTATTTCTAATAATAAATACCAAACGTTAAGAAATAAAGTGATAAAAGAGCTTACCTGAAAGGCCCACAGTGCCAAGAGGGTTTTAGCCAGACTATTTCTAATAATAAATACCAAACGTTAAGAAATAAAAAGATTAAAGAGCTTACCTGAAAGGCCCACAGTGCCAAGAGGGTTTTAGCCAGACTGTTTCTAATAATAAATACCAAACGTTAAGAAATAAAGTGATAAGACAGCTTACCTGAAAGGCCCACAGTGCCAAGAGGGTTCTAGCCAGACTATTTCTAATAATAAATACCAAACGTTAAGAAATAAGGTGATAAAAGAGCTTACCTGAAAGGCCCACAGTGCCAAGAGGGTTCTAGCCAGACTATAGAAAAGCCCACGGGAAGAGTACACAGAAACAGCATAATAAGCAGCAGTGCATAGTAGAAGTTATTAGATCTGGAAGCTTTGAAGACTGTGTCGTGGGGAATGTTGCAGGTCATAACAGCCCAGCTACGCACATACAGTAGAATACAGAGTTTGACAGTGTTGATAGCCGGTAAGCCTGGACTGAAGAACATACCCATCCTACAAAACAGTTACTCATGATATACCTTTAAGGAGAAGTTTGGTTTCATTTTAATGCAACCAGAAGAAAGACTGGTTTAGTTTTAATGTGACGAGAAGGAAGATTGGTTTGGTGTTAATGGGACTAAAAGAAAGACTAGTTTGGTGTTACTGGGACTAAAGAAATATTGGTTTAGTTTTAATGGGACTAAAAGAAATATTGGTTTAGTTTTAATGAGACTAGAAAAGAGATTGATTTGGTTTTAATGGGACTAGAAGAAATATTGGTTTGGTGTTAATGAGACTAAAAGAAAGACTAGTTTGGTGTTACTGGGACTAAAAGAAATATTGGTTTAGTTTTAATGGGACTAGAAAAGAGATTGATTTGGTTTTAATGGGACTAGAAGAAATATTGGTTTGGTGTTAATGAGACTAAAAGAAATATTGGTTTAGTTTTAATGGGACTAAAAGAAATATTGGTTTAGTTTTAATGGGACTAAAAGAAATATTGGTTTAATTTTAATGGGACTAGAAAAGAGATTGTTTTGGTTTTAATGGGACTAGAAGAAAGATTGGTTTGGTGTTAATGGGATTAAAAGAAATATTGATTTAGTTTTAATGGGACTAGAAGAGAGATTGTTTTGGTTTTAATGGGACAAGAAGAAAGATTGGTTTGGTGTTAATGGGATTAAAAGAAATATTGATTTAGTTTTAATGGGACTAGAAGAGAGATTGTTTTGGTTTTAATGGGACAAGAAGAAAGATTGGTTTGGTGTTAATGGGACTAAAATAAATATTGGTTTAGTTTTAATGGGACTAGAAGAGAGATTGTTTTGGTTTTAATGGGACTAGAAGAGAGATTGGTTTGGTTTTAATGGGACAAGAAGAAAGACTGAGTTGGTTTTCAACAAACGCGAAGAACGTATCTTAGTGAGTTAACGTTGGAGAGTATTTTATGTTTTACACATAAGTTTGTTTGTTTGAAGTTAAGCAGAAAGCTACACAATGGACAACTTGTGATCTGCCCACCACGGGTATCGAAACCCGGATTCTAGCGCTGTAAGTCCGTGACTAAACGAAAGATTATTTTTTTAATGCGAGCACAAAAATGTTTAGTTTGGCTCGTAATGTTGTCAGGAGGGTCACATTAAAGTCAAACTCATCTTTAAAACAAACTTTTTCTATCTTTAACATGATCAAGATAAAGATGAGTTTGACTTTAATGTGACCAGAAAAAGTTTGTTTTGTCTTTAACATGATCAAGATAAATATGAGTTTGGCTTTAATGTGACCAGATAAAACGACTGATTGATTTTTTAACGTGAAAAGTGTTAAATTAAGCTAATCATCTGAAATTAAAAAAACTAGCATAAGGAATACATACAATCGAGAGCACACAGTGATCTATGTAAATATTATCCACATATTTTATGTTTATTGTGTTTCCTGATATTCAGCTATTTTGATTTTCAGTTTTTTAACACGCTGTAGTTTTATTGATTAAGTTTACACTAAAAATATTTATCCGAACTGCTTACCATATCATGCCTTGGTTGTTGACTAGATGTAGAATATTTTCAGCTATTTTAAAATCTCCGTAACCTGGCTAAAATATATAAAAGTGGTTTTAAAATGCTCAAAAGACCGTGAACATTTGTTAGAATAAAATACAAAAAAAGTAACTTGAAAAATCATCGAATTTTGAGTAAGAACAAAGCGCATAAAAGTAAATCAAATAATAGAAATATCGTGAATGTTCGTTAAAATATACTACAGAAAAGGTAACTTGAAAATGGTCTAAGAGACCGCAAATGTTATTAGAAAAAAACAACAACTGATATGTACAGTGAAGAAACGATAATCTTTAAAACTAAACACAAGGTTGGTTTAATTCTTTAACATGTCTCTGGTGGGGACGATCTTTAAAACTAAATACAAGGTTTGTTTAATTATTTAACATGTCTTTGGTGTGGACGATCTTTAAAACTAAACACAGGGTTAGTTTAATTCTTTAACATGTCACTGGTGGGGATGATCTTTAAAACTAAACACAGGGTTTGTTTAATTCTTTAACACATCTCTGGTGGGGACGATCTTTAAACTCAACACAAGGTTGGTTTAATTCTTTAACGTGTCTCTGGTGGGGACAATCTTCAAAACTTAGATAAAAAATGTACTGTCTAAGGCAAGTGAAATGACTTTATACCATACTGAGATGAAACGTTTTAGGAGTTTTTAAAGTTTCAGTGAGTTTCAAAATAATTTTAAGAGTAGGTCTAATTGTAGCTATCGTGATGTTAATAAGTTTTAACCCATCCCCACATATATTTATTAATTAATACACATTTACACATGGTTTTATGTTTGTTGAAATAAGTCAATGTAAAATATAGTATATATATATATACATTATCATAATAGCTAACAAATTATCAATTATAAAATTTAAATCACATTTATGTCCGTACTGACATGAATTTCTTGTCAGCTTTTCATATTGAGCTATAAGTAGCAAGACCTAAACCTAATAATTACTTGGACTATTGTGACAGCTCTAAGACTGATATAAAATCAGACATTATAAATTTAAACTACATTACAAAGTTCAACCCCAAAAGTCTGATCACCGACGTGAAACCATTAGAAACTCATTAGAAGCGTTACCAAGATACCGATTATACAGATTTACTAAATAAGAAAGCTATAATAATACATGATTACTTTGCCCACAGTGGATAAACCTGCAGGTTGGGTTCTTTGAAATAACTTTTAACAATATACAACTATTTAATAACAAGCAGCTTACAAATTTCTTTTCTAAATCCCAACACCAACATTTGTTAGCGTAACGCACGAACACAGCCCGAAGAAAGTCCATTAATATTATCGAGATGATTGTCATTACCAAGTCCATCACTGTCAATTTTACAAGTTCCTAAAAATAAAAAAAGATATGATGAGAACCATAGAAACAGTACATAGTTACAATCAAGACGCATCAAACTGGAATTGTTAATGTTTAAGTAAAGTTTAAAAATATTCTGACAGCGTAAAAAAACGATTCGCCAAATTTATAATAGTTATGGCAAGGCTATTTGAATGCGGTAGAACAATTGCGATGTTTTCTAACAAATAGTATACTTTCACTGTTGTGTAAATTAAAAAGTTGGAACTTGAAATACTTAAAAAAAATAGAAATGAAAGTTTTGAGTTTCTCTACCAAATAATGATTGTTTATACTTTAACGAAACAGAAACGAAAGTTTCGAGTTTCTCTACCAAATAATGATTGTTTATACTTTATAAAAATAGAAATGAAAGTTTTGAGTTTCTCTACCAAATAATGATTGTTTATACTTTAACGAAACAGTAATGAAAGTTTTGAGTTTCTCTACCAAATAATGATTGCTTATACTTTATAAAAACAGAAAAGAAAGTTTCAGTTTCTCTACCAAATAATGATTGTTTATACTTTAACGAAACAGTAATGAAAGTTTTGAGTTTCTCTACCAAATAATGATTGTTTATACTTTATAAAAACAGAAAAGAAAGTTTTGAGTTTCTCTACCAAATAATGATTGTTTATACTTTATAAAAACAGAAAAGAAAGTTTCAGTTTCTCTACCAAATAATGATTGTTTATACTTTACTAAAACAAAAATTAAAGTTTTGAGTTTTTCTACTAAATAATGATTGTTTATATTTTAACAAACAGTAATGAAAGTTTTGAGTTTCTCTACCAAATAATGATTGTTTATACTTTATAAAAACAGAAAAGAAAGTTTCAGTTTCTCTACCAAATAATGATTGTTTAATAAGCTCAGTTGTGTTCAGAAAGTATGTATGCTTAATATATTTTCAATGTTGAAAAATATAAAAGACAAAAATGTTGTCTATATTATACTATTTTTTCAGATGTGAAAAATATAATGCATATAATTGTAACTAAATAAAAAAATGCAGACATGAAAAATTAGTAGAAGCAAGTTTTAGTATATTGCGTATATCGGAAAAACTAAAAATTTTATATCGGTCAAGTTTAGTGAATCAAACAGTCGAACATAATTCGTTTTGCTTCTCTAACATGGTTGATTAACTATACTGATTAATAGTGTTTTTGTTTTTTTAGTTATAATATTAAAAAGTACATTAACTGTTGACCTGTCCAAACATAGTTTCCCAGCATAATTTTCTAAGTTGTTCTTTAATGGAGTCGTCTCCCTGAAGAATAAGCCCTACAATATCTTCTTCAGTGCTACACTCTTTTCCCTCACATTTCGTAGTGAGTGTCGACATTTCCTGGCTCACACTTCCGGTGGTCTGTTCGCTATAGTAAGATATACAATCCCTATCACCGCAGTCCGGTATAGTGGAAGTTGGAGGGATCTCGGAATCCCTTGCTAGTATTTCTGTGGTATTACTTGTTTCGTTATTAGCATTCGTCAATCTAGGGTCTGTCGAAGCCGAAGATGATGTCAAACCATCATTTTCTTCAGTGTGGGTTACACAATTTGATATCAATTTCAAACAGTTTTCTAAAGAATCAGGCACGTTACCATTGAAGTCTGTGCTGTTGATAGACAGCCATTGCCACAACGTAGTATTTAGCAACGATAAAATATTATGTTTTTGTGAAGCATTTGTACTTTCAAAAAAAGATTCAAAAGTTCGATTCAGAGCATCATCTTGAAAGGAATCAGTTTGATTATTAGAAGTCAAGAGGGTTGCGATTGATATGTTCCACTGATTATTTAGATCCCTTGTGGTGTTTATCAGCGCGGATGTGTTTGTATCATTCCAGACAACAAACCACTCAACTGTTTCGTTTTCTCTCTCGAAGTTCAAGAAATTAGAAAAAGTCTCAGTACTAATCCCATCATCATCATCATGATCACTGAAATAGTTTTTTTTCAGAGTTTTGTTTCTTGACAGAAAAGGCTTTATCTTTTCTAGAAAATTCAATTTCTCCTTTCCGATAGAATTTCGCACCCATGAAAGAAGAACTGTGGTACAGTTAACCAGCAATGCAATATTGCACGTGTTCATGTCAGTCTGAACACGATCCAATCCTGGTTCAGAGAGTTTTAGAGACAGGCCAACAAGGGACCGAGAAGGTTCCATTACCGTGGTGTTCGAAGTAGAATATGATTCTGTCGATGTTAAGATAGTTGAAAAAACGGTGGTTTGCTCCAACATTACGGTGAGGTTTGTTTTTAACTCGAACAACGCAGTTGTCTGAAAAAAAAAAAACTCGTCACATTGAATTATTACGAAGTTCAATCATAAAACAGTGCATCTGAGTGTCTTTTTTTATTATTTGAAATATAAATGCTACTCAAGTCCACACCTTATTAATAGTAATTTACTCCCAATCACGCACACATGGACCCCGGAGGGTCTACGGACTTCCAACGTTAAAGTCCAGAGTTCGATTCCCCAAGGTGAACACGGCAGATAGTCTAACGTGGCTTTGCTCCAAAAAACGACAACAAACAAACAAACTCAATAACACTGAACAAAGTTTATGGCCCTATCTTTATTATTGTATTTTACTCTTACTCACACTGAACATGGTTTATGGCCCTATCTTTATTATTGTACTTTACTCTTAATCACACTAAACATGGTTTATGGTGTTATCTTTATTATTGTACTTTACTCTTACTCACACTGAACATGACTTATGTTATTTCATATTGATTCTTAGTACTTTATACATAACCACACTGAATTTCTTCCGAGTCCCCAGCTTTATCATAACACTTTGGAAGGATTTGGTTTTGTTTTGAAATTCGCGCAGAGCTACACGAGACCTATCTGCTCTAGCTGTCCCTAATTTAGCAGTGCTGGATGAGACAAACTAATAACATAGAAACTATGGATTCAAAGTTAAACAATTATTTATAAAACGAAATTGGTGGGAGATATTGTTAAATGTCTAAAATTCTTGTGTGGAAGAGAATTAGCACTTAGAAGGGATAAGAGGAGATTGAAGATTTCAACAATGGCAACTTTTTAGCTGCATTAGAATTTGCAGCTATATTCGATCTATTCTTGGCCAAGCCCCTTGAAATGCTTGGAAATAAAGGCCGGGCGGGGAGGTACCTCGTATTTGTTTGGTATAAAAATTATTCGAAGATTTTATTAGTTCAAGTGATAAGCTTCAAGAAAAGAGCCTTGATGTGTTTACTGCTGTAAAGCGTATCACTTCATTGAAAGAATATGTAATTTACTATACGAAGAATGCGATAGAATCGAAATTCAAGCTCATCAGCTTTCGAAAATAGTAGAAGAACAGTTTAGGAGATTTCTAGAAAGAGAAAAAGAAAGCTGGCAAATGATAAGACTTCTGAAGGTGAAATTAGTTTATCTGGAACTCAAAAGTTTCGCGTAGAAGCAAGGCTGAAAGAGAGAGCATTTTTGGTGGGACGGGGAAATCGAACCCACGACCCTCAGATTGCGATTCGAGCGCTCTAACCACCCGATCATGTCAGGCCTCAGTTTGGAAAAAAAACGTATGGTTTCAGCAGTGTTTTTTTTTTAAATGTCCGTTCTGTATACCGATTATGAATAACAAAAACAGCACATAAAAGCCAAGTTAGAAGTAATAATGCATCTTTTTTTAAATATTTGGTTTACATTATTTTTTACTTGAATTTTTGATAACGCGTATATATATTGCGTATATATATATATTTCTGATATTGCGTATAGTAAGATACTGTTAAAAGCAAGAATCATAAGAAATATATCCGGTTAAGAAATGCAAATTTAAGAATATAAATCTATTATGATTTTGTTGAAAAGATATTTCTTATTTGTTTCAATTTATTAAAACATTTTACACAATCCGAAGTTTAAAACAGGATAAAATCATCATTATCAGTAATGTGTAATTCATATATATATTCAAACATCCTGTCTAGATTAATGAATTATTTTGATATATTTCCATTCATTACGTCAAATTCGTATATTTGATTCTTCTGAGGCCTTGAAAGTATTTCGAGATGCCTATAGAGATTATGCTACTCTGATTTATCAAAGTTTAGATAATAAACACTACTAACCATTTTGTCAACTTTACCAAACAGAGCGAAGATGAGAGTGTACAGATTTAATAGGTACAGCACCAGAATCCTGTTTTAAAAAAAAATACAGATCTGTATTCATGTGTCTATTTATTATCAAAAGCACAGATATTGTAAAAACACATTCGACGTGAATTTCACTAAACTTGCATTGACAAGAACAATGTAAACATGATTTCTTGAAAAGGAACTTAGTATTTACAAGGCCAACTGTTGGGTCATTTCGTCTGCTTCAGTTACAAAATGTATATTTAACATAGAAATATAAAACTGATCGAGAAGCATAAGTTAATCAATCATGACTTGCCAGATCACTGTAAAATATCTCTCGTATGTGAGAAATTGGTTCTAATTTTGTCATTTATAAAAATTTAGAAGAGTGAATCGGGAAATAAAACAGGTTTAAAAAAACAGTACGTTTATGTAGGTATAACATAACACAATTACACAAATACTCCACGATCACACATTTGTATATATATATATATATATATAATTATAATTGAAATATTTAAATAAAGTGATTTAGGTTAACTGGATTTTGTAATTGTTCAACGTTGTTCATCCATCACTTTTTATTCATGCTGCATCTACACATGTGACATGCTCGCGCGAACACACACACACACATTATATTATTGTTTTATTTATTACATTTAGGCTTACGATGGGTGCAAATCCTGCTTTCCAGGAAAGCACATCCACTTATATCATGGACGTAGTTGCATATTACGAGTCAAGATTGGCCTGTTGGAGTAGCTGTAATGTAACATATTTAAATCTGTCAACAGAGGAAGTGGCAAGAATTGCACACAAATGTAAACATTCTCTAATGTAGAACGGTTGCACTTAGCGGGTGTTTTACTGGAATCAAAGTTACTGATTGTTGTTTTTGCTGCCTTACTTTGAGTAACTGTAAAGAAAGCATTTATACAGGGGTGTGTATTTTGTTTTTCACTGTTAGCTGACACTTTACAGGGCGGTTACACATCACCAATGTTTACACGTGAGCCAATGTTATTAGCTTAAGTCAATCAAATGACATTTATAAATATGCAAGGAAACTGACTTTATTTTCTCATCGCGCAGGCGCCATGATTGCCCCTTCACTCTCAAAGGTTTATGTATATGAAACACGCTGTATAACCTTCACTACCACGAGTTTATATGTATGAAACACGCTGTATAACCTTCACTACCATGAGTTTATATGTATGAAACACGCTATATAACCTTCACTACCATGAGTTTATATATATGAAACACGCTATATAACCTTCACTACCATGGGTTTATATATATGAAACACGCTATATAACCTTCACTACCATGGGTTTATATATATGAAACACGCTATATAACCTTCACTACCATGGGTTTATATATATAAAACACACTATATAACCTTCACTACCATGGGTTTATATATATGAAACACGCTATATAACCTTCACTACCATGAGATTATATATATGACTCACACTATATAACCTTCACTACCATGGGTTTATATATATGAAACACGCTATATAACCTTCACTACCATGAGATTATATATATGAAACACGCTATATAACCTTCACTACC